TCAGGAGTGTCTGCTCTGCTGCTGTCTCTTGGCCTGAGGTGGGCATCCTGCCTGTTGCTCCTCCTTCCACAACTGCAGGGTTGGCTGCCCATTCAGAGGGGCAGACTGGCCCTCACAACCTTAGTCAAGGGGAATCTCTTGACTAATTCCCAGCGGAAGCTGAATGGAGCACCTCTTCCCACCTCCACTGTGCTCGGAACATTCTAGGTTGTGTGGAAACCTGGGTGAGAACAGCCCCTGGTGCACTGCAGTGCCTTGGCAGGCTACAGCTGGCCCGCAGCTGTGTGCTACGTTTGTGCCTGCTGTCTCCTTTCAACTTGAACATGAGAAAAGATGTGATGAACCAGAAAACTTAGGGCTTGCACAGTGAGCTCAGAAAGATTGAATGGCTCTGCAGGGCCATCTACATGTGGCCATGTCAGTTTAATGAAAATTTTGAAACAAAAATGGAATTGAGACCAGCCAAAACCTCAGAGGATTAAAGCACCTGTAAGCAGGTGCAGGGGCCAGGGGTCCAATGCCTGGGCCTGCTATGCCAGCCCCGCCCTCTGGGGCTCACTGAGCCTGCAATTGAAACTGGGCATGATGGCGCATGCCTGTAATCCCAGCTCTTGGGAAGCTGTAAACAGGAAGATCACCGCGAGTCCGATCTAGTAGTGAGACCCTGAACACCTTGTAGACCCTTCCCTAAAATACAAGAAAGTAAAAACAAAACAAAACAACAACAACGAAAAAAGCGAATAACTGAAACTGACAGTGAAAACCACTGGTCATCTGTGTGAACATTTGAGCGGGGAATCCCTTGACTACCATTTTAGTTTACTACTAGTTCTTACTTAAATTTTCTATGTATTCTTGTAGTTACCTGGACAGCTTGTAGCTTTTTAGGAATCTATATATTTTGTGTAGTATTTCAATTTGATTTATATATTATAGCACAAAGTACTCTTATTTATACTTTTGTGGTTTCTTTAGTTGTCCTTGCCTGTGTGCTGCCACGTGCCCCTCCCTCCTGCTTGGCTCCCTGCCCCGCCTTACTCTCTGTGGCCGTGGTGCCTTCCTCCTTATTCTTCCCATCGCTGTTCTGTCTTGCCTCTTCTCCCTCCTGTTTACTTATTAGTATTTTTTTTTTTTGATCACTTGAATTATGAAAGAGATGGCATCAGTCTTTTCAGCTTTTGATTTTGTTAATCTCTCAGTTGTTCCTTTCTATTCTGCACTTCGGTC